TTATTTTTATAGAGTGGTTGGTAAATGTAAACAATTTGTTATCCAAGAAGTCATGTAAGGTTAAGACAAACATTCAGAAAAATTTAGGTAAGTTCCAAAACAACAGACACAGTGGATTACTAAGAAAAGCAAGTACATTTCAAGTATACAATCAGTATTTTGAGGCTGATGCTGAAGGCAATAATCACTCTTTCTTAAACGTCCAAGTGCCATCATCAGACCCAAAGTACTAGACTGCATGGTCCCAGGATGGCACTTATTTGCTCTAGCCTTAGAAGAGTTATAACTGAAGATTCTGCTGTTCTCTGGGGACAAGAAGATACATTAAGAGTGCAAACAACATCACACACTTGCTACCATTCATTTATTCAGCACTTTATGTCATGTACCAGACTTCTGCTAGATATTTTTAAATATCTCATTTAATTCTCATCAGGTAGTTTATCAGCCTCACCTTAACACATGAGGACACTAAGCTTCTGAGAGGTCAGAATTATGGCAAACATATATTTAGCATGAAAGAAAATAGAAAGCTTAAAGATTTAAATCCACGTCTGTGCCATGTTGTCTTTCACTGTAACTGTAAATAACAGTTACAATAACAAAAAATAAAATGTCATTTTAAGAGGTTTTCTTTGTTTGAGAGTTTATTTTGTCCATTTAAATGCTCAGTAAACCTTCACAACAGTCTATGAAGCTGAGTCATACTTTAATCCCCCTTTCCTCAAATCTCACTTCCTATCCTTCGACATATCTTGCTAACCCTACCTTCAAAAATGTATTCTGAATCTATTATATTTTAAGTATGTATCACAGGTGAATATGTTATCTGGTCACCATCACTCTAGTTCATCTCTGGCTTAGATGATGAAAATAGCCTCTAACTAGACTTTCTGATCTGTCTTCCCTCCCAGTCTATTCTGAATCCTTGCAAAGGGTTCCATTGAAAGATGGTGTCACTCTTCTGTTCAGAACATTTCAACAAAGTTGCCCATCTTGCTGACATAAAAATAAAGTCCTTACAATGAGAAAGACCCAATACCTCTGACATCTTTTCTTCCATTCTCCTCCTCTACTCCAGCCACACTTGCCTAATTACTCCTTGAACACTCCGAGCATATTTACCCTTCTCCCTACTGTTCCCCTGATTAGAATATTCTTTCCTCAGATTTCACCCTTTCAGGTCTTTGCTCAAATAGCACCTCATCAGTAAAGCCTTTCTTCCTCACTCTACCCTCTCAGGCACTCCATATTCTCCTTACCCTACTTTATCATGGCACTTATTACCATCAAACATTTTATAAATGTATTCACTTATTTATTTGGCCACCTGATGGAAAGAACTGACTCACTGGAAAAGACCCTGATGCTGGGAAAGACTGAAGGCAGGAGAATGGGACGACAGAGGACGAAATGGTTGGATGGCATCACGGACTCAACAGACATGAGTGTGAGCAAGCTCCGGGAGTTGGTGATGGACAGGGAAGCCTGGCGTGCTGCAGTGCATGGGGTCGCAAAGAATCAGACGTGACTGAGGACACACACAGAGCCTCCACACCACATGCCCTAATACTCAATCATATCACCTTTTTCATGCAATTCAGCATTTCCAGGTAGATAGCAGAACCTCCCCTACCACACACAACATCAAAATCTAGACACGATAATTACTTTTACTTACATGCTTCTTTCCCAGAAATCAGTAATTTTCAAACACTGAGTCTTAGATTCTTGTTACCTCATTAGTTCTTTCTTCCTGCTCTTTTCCTCATTCACTGCTAGCTCTCCTCTCTTATGCTATTGTAAGAAAAGTTAAACCCCCGAAATGATAAATTCTGATTCTACTGCATTTTGTTCATTCTATCACTCCAACTAGACTTCATGTGTCTTTGAGATCATCTAACACAATGTGTCATACACAGAAAATTCTCTCAAATATTAGATTCATATTCTATCTCCAATTTCTTTCACAAATCTAAAGCTCAGAAGTAATCTTGACCATTCTTTTCCCATGAATTACATACTCTCATATGAATGGTGGTGGTGGTGAGGCAAGAGGGGGATTCCCACAAGTAAAAAGAGAATTTTATATTAATCAACATGGGCAAAGGGGCAAAAAATGACCAGTAAATTTTTGGCACAAGGTAGTCAGTTCCTTACTCCCCAGATCTGAAGGAGGGAGGAAGTGATGCAGGCAAGCCATGGAGAACTTGGATTGCCTTTTACAACTCGGCCCTGGCAACTTGGAAGAGCAGGACTGACAGGTTCCTCAAGGGACAATTAGACCTAATCTTAAAGGGATTTTTGTTGAGTCTGGTATTAGTCTGGCTTTAGGCAAAGATATAAAAATAAAAGGAGGATACTAACTAATCCAAATTTCATTACCATCATTCATTCAAGTCTTATTTCCTACTGTTTTTCTAGAAAAATTCCAAAGGCAAAAGAAAAATGAAGGAATATAATCAAATTTAATGATTCTGATGTAAAGAAAGGATTTTTTAAAATATATTTTCAATTACACTAATAAGACAATCAAAAAACAGATTCCTACAAACTCTCTACTTCCAAAAGAATATACTTGTTCTGTTTAAAAGTCATGGCACATTTTTGAAGTTTCTCCATGGATGCTTAATTTAACTGCAGCTCAAACCAAAAGATTCAGTAATCATGTAGTATTCTTAATATGATGAGCACCAATAGGAAACCTACCAGAAGTTTAACATTTGCCATAAATAACCCAGTAAGTAGTGTGTGTATGCATGTATGTGTGTATATATTCTGGGGGGCAGGGGTAGAGAGGGCATAACTAAAGAGTAACTATGGATACAGGGAAATTAAAAGTTAAATATGGGGGTGGAGGGAGAGAAGTTAAGATAGGTTGGAAATTTTCGGACTTCCCAGGTAGAAAGGTAAGGACCACTTTGTTTGTTTTTGAACAAATTAGTGTGACTTATCTTACATTCCCTAAACTAGATAAGAAGTTAAAATTTAAGCAGCTACATACAAAAATCATTATCCACAATTGTACAATGATTAAGGTTAAAGCCTGCCTTTAATACTTCCTTGAAGTCTGAAATCCACAAATTCATTTATGGAATGCATTGCTAGTTCATTATGAGAAAAATTACAAACATCAACAGACTAGATACTAAACTAACAAAACGGTACCACTGAAAAAGTTGCCAAAGAATATAAACATGTAACTGTATAAATTAAGCAGAATCTCAGAAACTATAGATCACACCCTCACTTCATTCAACTTCTCACTAAGGCCTTCCCTGACCACTCCATCTAAAACAGCTGCCCCACCATACTCTAAGGGGCTTTTCCAGGTGGCTAAGTGGTAAAGCATCTCCCTGCCAATGCAGGAGACTCAGGAGACTGGGGTTTGATCCCTGGGTGGGGAAGATCCCTGAGAGGCGGAAATGGCAATCCACTTCATATTCCTGCCTGGAAAATCCCATGGACAGAGAGGAGTCTGGTGGGCTACAGTCCATGGGGTCGCAAAGACTCAGACACGACTGAGTACGATCACACTCCATTCTTGCATCCTGGTGTATTTTTCCCATGGCAGTTGCCACTATGGATCAGCATACTATATAGCTGCATTTGCTGCCTCCCAACTAAAACATAAGCTCCATGAGGACAGAGGTTTTGTCAGTTAACCCCCAAGCCTACAGGCACGGTGTTAGCACTTAATAAAGACGCTGAATATAGGATGAAACCGAAGTTCAGAGAGTTTGTTAAAGGATTTCCTCAAGGTCACAGAACTGGCAGCAAACACAGCCTGTATTATAACCCTTTCTGATTGCTCTTTCCACAACCACTTCCACTCCACCAAAGTAGTCTGTTCCAGCACATGATTCCATTTAACATGATTCTATTTCTTTTCTTTTCTTTAAGTGCCAAAGAAAATACATGCTACCAAAAACAGTGGCACAGTGGGTAGTATTTTAACTTCAAGTATTTCACCAACCAAAACTATACTCAGATTTCACAAGCATACAGGATTAGCCAGTAAACAGAAAGACATAGGCACTCAGAGTTTTCTAAGTTCTTTGTGAAATTGGTGAATGCCTTGGAAGTTTTAAGAACAGCCACTGAAACCTACTTGCCAATTCAGAACTGCCTGCAAAGTCCGTCTCACTCAGCCTTCTAAGAGCCCACAGCCGTTCCTCCCTGGATACACTTTATCTTGCAAATTATGCAAGGAAATGTAACCAACTTTAAAGCTCCTTTTAGTTTCCTGTTAAAGTACCAGTCAATCTCACAACACCCTGAACAGAAAATTAACCCGTGGGAAGTTTTCGATTCTGAGAAGGGGAAATCATCTCTGAACCATCATCTGGCAGTGCTCATCTAGGTCCTTCATTCAAAATCCAGGAATCTGAAATATCTAAGAGAAACGCCGGAGGGGACGAGGGAGAAGGAAAAGAAGAAACATTTACATTTCTAAAAAGGGAGCTGATACTCCTAGTAACACTCTGGCCCAACAGCAGCTTCTTGCTTAAAGTCAAGGCCTCACGGACACAATTTCTGGTTGTCTTCTTTGATCACCTTCCTCACAGAGAGGCGCCAACTATCAACACCTTTTACGGGGATCATCTCCAGACCCAGGATGGGACTCACCAGGACGGGATGATTGCTTATCTCGCAAAACTACTGTAAGCCCAATTAGTAAACTGAAGGGAACACCTAAGATGTGGAACGGCAAGAGAGTTGAAATGAACCTGAGAGTTAAGAGTGGAAAGGAGCAGATGAAAAGGTGCGAGGAAGGTAAACAACGTATCAGGGGCGAGAGAGGGAACCCGGGTCGAGGAAGTGGGGTCAGCGACAGGCACAGGCGAAGGGAGGAGGGGGACGAGGTTCGGGGTGGGATGGGCGGGAGCAAAGGGGGAGGGGACGAGCGACGGCTAAGCAGCGGAGGGGGAAGGGTCTGGGGCGGGGCGGAAGGGAGCGAAGAGGCGGGATGAAGAGGGCCAGGCCGGGAGGGTCTTTACCTGCAGCTCCGCCCGCTCCACTTCCCACTGGGCTCTCTCGACCTCGAAGCGGGCCCACTCATGCTGCAGGAAATGCAGAATCCCCGGGAGGCTGTATTGGGCTCGGGCCGCCCCCGCTGCAGCCGCCCCGTCGCCGGCCGCGGCAGCCTCCGCCAGAGGCCCGAGACCCTTGGCACCACCGGCGGCCGGGTGGTTGTTGCTGAAGAAGACGCCGGGACCCGCTTGCTCGTCCATGGCGGTCACAGGAACCGGGGAGGCTGCCCAGGCGCCCAGGAGCGGAGGCAACGGCGGCAGCCAGCAGCGCCTCCTCCTCCCTCCGCCGCTCCCCGCCCACACCCCAGTCAGCAGGGAGCAGCCGCCTGGGCGCGGGGGCCGGCCGAGCCCGGGACGGGCCGGGAAATGGGTCAACTGCGGCGCGCGGGCGGCCCGGGGCTTGCTGGGAAATGTAGTCGCGGGGAGGGGCGCCGACGAGCGCGGCGCGGGCGGCCTGTGGGGCTGCGTTCTGACGGGGCGCGAGCGCAGCCCCGCCCACAGCCCCGCCCCTTCCCGCGGCGGTGGGGGCCGCCCCCTGGCGGAGTGCGCGGGTTTCCTCACTGAAGGGGCTGGGCACCCGCGGGCGGTGCTCTGGTCTCCCTCGCACGCGGAAGTTCTTGGGTGGCGCTCGCTGTTGCAGACACACACGCACACACACGGAAGTTAGCGCGTTGAACTGTTAGCCCGAGCTGCACAGCTTTTAGAGCTTCCTGGTAGTTCTGATAAGAAACAAGATCAAAGCAAGCTTCGCCAGTGCAGCCCAGGGACCGGGGTTCTCCAGCCACCACTCTCAGACCCCTTCTGCTCTGACTTCGGTGATTCTCTGACCCTAGACACGCCTCAGTTCTGTCCATTTCCGTACGGCTGTCGTTCCTGCCTTTCTTTGTCGCTTAGGGTTCAATCAGACCTGTTGCCAGATCAGTTCTCACGAAGGAACTCTGATCATCTCTCTACAGAACTCTACACAGCAACTTCCTGCTTCTTCCAAATTCTGGTTTTTTGACATCTCATTTGAAGCACTACTCCGCTGAAGTCCTTTTCCCTTTGTAGTTAATCTTGCAGTAAGTCCTGTAAAAAGTTTTGGATATCCAAGGCTCTGTCATTTCTACCTCATTTTTCCTCATTCCCGAGCAGTTATTTATACTCATTTCAATGTTTGACTCTTAAGTGCCGTCACTGGGAATATAAAGATAAATGACACAACTCCCGTCATCAAAGAGAGTGGCCGATGTACACTCAATTCTCACAGTGCCTGAAACTACCTGAAAGAACAAAGTCCCTTTCTGCGCTCTAGAACTATCTTAGGTATTCGGACACTTCTCCCTTTTCACTTACTCGTCCGATTTGCGGTTTCTTCCATGGTTCACTTGCAAACTGGCATTATTGTTACCCTACGAAAGACACACCACAGGCGTTTCAAGTGTGTTCAAGTGTTACCCTTCTCTCAAGTCTTTGAAATTATGTCACTATAAATTCACACTACAATGATAATGAAAGGAAGGCACCTGAAAAAAATATTAACAAATGAAGATTAAATTAAGCACTTTTGTCCCCTTAGCAAGTCATTTGTAGTTCTTTTGTGGGATGGAGTTCTGGGATAACAGACCTTTTGGCCATGAGAAAATGTAAAGATACTGGGCGGTGAGTGACAAGTCTGGGAAGGACATCCTGTTCCTGTGGGCCCCCTCCCCCTCTTCCCACTGCTACTTGTGGAAAGGACAGGAAACACATTGTATCTGTGCTGGTAGCAGATAGATGGCTAGCTCTCTTTTTTCAGTTACAGAATGTTTCTGCTTTATGAATTCGTCCTTTATTGGAATAAAAGTTTGATCCAAGCCTGGCCAAACTCCCTAGGTCGTAAGTTGTTTTAGCTGTAAGTGTCTTTTGAGATACTGCCGAACCCTTTCATTTTACAGTTTAGGAAACTGAGGTCCAAAGAAGTTGAACTTGTTCACAGTGAAGCTTTGAGTGAGTGGCACAGTCAAAACTAGAAACCAGAATTCTTGACTGCTAGTTCATTAATCTTTCCATTAACAGGTCGCCTCCTCTTTTACTTACCAGATCTATCAGAGTATCAAGGAGACAATAACACAACAATGGCATGGTTTTTCATCTGCAGGATTTAAGTAATCTTACAGGTTTTGAATGTTAAAAGCTTTTCCCCGCTCTAATAAAAGACATGTCTGACAATTCCTTTAAATAAATTTATAACATACTATAAAACATGATTACATTTAATGCTAGCTGTTTAAGAATCTTTAGCTAGATTTCACCAAGGAGAAGACTCAATAAAATCAGAAGTGAAACAATTATGTGTCAGCAAGTTGTACAACCTAGAAGAAATAGACACTTTCCTAAAACATACAAGGTATTAAGACTGAATCAGGATGAAACAGAAAATCTGAAACAAGCAGTTACTTTTTTTTTTTTTTAAGCAGTTACTCTTAATAGTAAGGAAAGTGAATCAGTAATCAAAAAACCTACTAATAAAAGTCCAGGACCAGAGAGCTTCCCTGAAATTTTTTGTTTGGTTTTTGGTTTTTTTCTTTTGCCAGGCCACAAAGCATGTGGGATCAAAGTTCTCCAGCGAGGGACAGAACCTGTAGCCCCTGCACTGGAAGCCCCACTTCACTGGTGAATTCTACCAAATACTCAAAAAAGAAACCAATCCTTCTCAAACTCTTCCAAAAAACTGAAGAGGCAGGAACTCTTCCAAACATTTTATGAGGCTAGCATTATTCTGATGCCAAACCCAGACAAGAATGCCACACAAAAAAGAAAATTATGGGCCAATATTCCTGATGAACATAGGTACAAATACTCCTCAACAAATATTGGCAATTCAAGGTCAATAATACATTAAAAAGAATCATTTACAGTGATCAGGTGGATCCATCACATTAACAAAATGAAGGATAAAAACTGTATGATCATCTCAATAGTTGCAGAAAAAGCATTTGATAAAATATATGATCCATTTATGATAAAAGCTCTCAACAAAGCAGGTATTGAAGGAATGTACCTCAACATAATAAAAGCCACTTATGGCAAACCCACAGCTAACATCATACTAATGGTTAAAAGTTAAAAGCATTCCTCTAAGATCAGGAATGAGACAAGGATGATCACTGTTGCTACTTTTATTTTGCATAGTGTTGGAGGTGCTAGCCAGAGCAGTGTGGTGAGAAAAAGAAATAAATTTCATCCATGTTTAAAAGAAGGAAAACTGTCACTGTTTGCAGATGCAAGCTTGTGTGCTTATTCGCTCACCATAATACTATATATAGAAAACCCTAAAGATGCCATCAAAAAAGTTAGTACAGTAACAATAAACAAATTCATTATTGTTGCAGGTTAAAAAAATAAATATACAAAAGTCAGTTGTATTTCTACATGCCAACAACAAACTATCAAAAAGAGATATTAAGAAAGGAACCCCATTCACACTTTCATCAAAAAGAATAAAATACCTAGGAATAAATTTAACCAAGGAAGTACAAGACCTGTACACTGAAAACTATAAGACATTAAACAAAGACATTGAAGATCACACAAATAAATGGAAAGACAGGCCATGCTTGTGAATTGGAAGAACTAATATTGTTAAAAATTACCCAAAGCAATCTACAGATTCAATGCAATTTCACAAAAATAGAACAAATTTTCCGAAAATTTGTGTGACTCCACAAAGGACCTTGAATAGCCAAAGAAATCCCAAGAAGAACAAAGCTAGAAGCATTATGCTCCGTGATTTCAAACTCTGTTACAAAACTATAGTAATTATACTAGTATGGTATTGGCATAAATACACACATCAATCAATAAAACAGAGTAGAGAGCCTAGAAATAAACCCATATATACCTGGTCAACTAACTTATAACAAAGGAGTCAAAAATATATAGTGGGGGAAGTTTGTCTCTTTGATAAATAGTGGTGGGGAAACTGTACAGCCACATGCAGAAGAATGAAACTAGGCCACTAATTTATATCATACATTACAAAAATTAGCTCAAGGTTGATTAAAGACTTGAACAGAAGACCTGAAACCATAAAGCTAGAAGAAAACACAGATGATGAGTTCCTTGATATAGTTCTTGGTGATGATTTTTTAAATCTGCTAGCAAAAGTAAAATTAAGTAACGCAAAATCAACAAGTGGGACTATATCAAAGGAAAAAGCTTCTGCACAGCAAAGGAAATTATCAACAAAATTAAAAGGTTGGCACTAAATGGAAGGAAATATTTGCAAATTGAATATCTGATAAGGGCTTAGTAGCCAAAATATACAAAGAACTTATACAGCTCAACAGTAAAAAACAATCAGATGTGAAAATGGACAGAAAATGTGAATAGACATTTTCCCAAAGAAGACATATACCTGGCCAACAGACACATGAAAAGATGCTCAATATCCTTATTCACCAGGGAAATGCAAATAAAAACCATAATGAATTATCACCTCACACCTATGGCTATAATCGTGAGGACAAGAAATAAGTATTGGGAAGGACGTGAAGAAAATCAGTTATTGATGAGAATATAAATTGCTGCAGCCACTATGGAAAACAATATGGAGCTTCCTCAAAACATTAAAACTAGTATATAATACAGCAATTCCACTTCTAGGTATTTATCTGAAGGAAATGAAATCACATTCTCGAAGAGATATCTGCATTCCTGTGTTGATTACAGCATTACTTACAATACCAACAACATGGAAAGAACCTAAACTGTCCATCAGTGGATGAATAGATAAATAATATGTAGTGCAATGGAGTATGATTCAGCCATAAAAAAAAAGAATGAAATCTTGCCATTTGCAACAACATGAATAGACCTCAAGGACATAATATTAAGTGAAGTAAGTCAGACAGAGAAAGATGATGTGATCTCTTATGTGTGTGTGTGTGTGTGTATATATATATATATAGTGGTTTAGTTGCTCAGTCATGTCCAGCTGTTGCAACCTCATGGACTGTAGCCCACCAGGCTTCTCTGTCCATGAAATTTCCCAGGCAAGAATACTGGAGTGGGTTGCCATTTCCTTCTCCAGGGAATCTATTTAAAACACACACACACACACCAACCCCCACCGCTCCCCCCCAAAAAAACAGTCTCATAGATACAAAGAACAGATTCATGGTTGCTAGAAATGAGTGGTAGGAGAAATGGATGAGCAGGGTCAAAAGGTGAAAAAGAAA